TCTCACGCAAGTGTGTACATGTCATGCATCGTACCTGTCTCTTATACACATCTAGATGTGTATAAGAGACAGCACACACACACACACACCTATGTTGCTGAGAGTTTACTCTGGGCATGCATCATGCCCTCACTGCAGCAGAGGAGCCTCCTAAATCCCTAAAAGAGATGCTAGTAAAACACTGCAGTATTTCTCCTTAATTTAGGATTTATGAAAATCCCTTTTTTTTTCTTTTTTTCTTTAGCCTTTTATGCGAGGCCTAAGGCCCCGATGAGCCCCTTTGGCCCTGTCTGCAGTGTTGTCAGCCGCCCTAAGTGAAGGCAGGCTCGGCTCAGGCCAAGGGGCCCCTTTTTGGGCCACCACGCAACTGGGGAAATTCAGACAGTTGCACGGCGTCAGTTGGTTATGGCCCAGGCAGCCATTTTGCAAATGTATCTGAAGTACGCCTTGGGCCAGACGCGCATACGGACCGAACACAGGCTGAGGGCAGTTGGGTACGGGCAACTAACTCAGGCCCTGGGCCTGTTCTGGATGGACTGGGGCTCATCCACTCGGGCCTACCAGAAGCTTCCGGGCGAGGGCTGAGCGCAGCCTGACCGCGGCAGCAGGCAGGCCACTTCCATTTAGGAAAGGGCCTGCCACATTCGGGCACTGGCTGCATGCTGCGCAAGCGCTGCTGCGCTAACGCTGGCCAGCGCTCACGCGCTCACGGGCGAGCTGGAAGGAGTAGGCAGCCATAGCCGAGCTGCGCTGCTGTATGCTGGATGGGGCGCATGGTGGTCCTTGGGTGCAAGTGGCATCTGTGAGTTGGGGATCGAGGTTTTGAGTGATACGAGAGACATACCTGGTGCTTGAGGCGAACGGCATTGGCTGAGATCTGCTCGTACTTCGGGGAGCTGTTGACGTCATCAGCTGCATTGTAGATAGGCTAGATAGGATCTGCCATCTGTAGTCTGGGCGTCGAGCGCCAGATAGGATATCGGCATTGGTTCTTCGTTGATGATGATGAAACTATTCCAGCATTGTCAATTATGAGCTTTTGCTGTACTCTTATTTGGTGGAACTCGTGATGCAATTCTGCTATTGGTTCGAGGTCACGACTATCTGGTCTCGTGTGTATGATGCTGTTTGATTTCTGAAGTTCGCTATCGCTCATTTTGCTTGCATTTAGGTGTTTTAACGTCTAACTTTTAATATTTTTCAAACTGATTGAATTCTCAATTTTTAATTTTTAATTTTTAGTACTATATACTACTATCTGCTGTGTTTGCCTGAGTTTCCTGTGCACTGGCATTGCTGAGCTTTGTGCTTTGTTTGTTTTTCGTTTTCTGTTTTTTTTTTTTTTTTTTTTTTTTTTTTTTGTTTTTTTTACTTTTTTTTTTTTTTTTTTTTTTTTTTTTTTTTTTTTTTTTTTTTTGTTTGTTTTTTGTTTTCTCTCTCTTTTTTTTTTTTTTTTTTTTTTTTGGTTGGTTTTCTCTCTTGCAGGGGAGTTCACAGAGATGTTGGAACAGAACGCTAACAATGCTAACAACCAAGAGAAAGCTCAGCAAATGCCCACAGCTGCTGTGGAACGGACAGAAAAAACTATCGACAGATCCATCATCAACTTGATCGATTTGCCCTATCCGGGTCATCGAGAACCGACGTCGACTTCGTTTTCCACATCAGCGCATTCCGGTTTGACTGCCACAGTCAGTGACAGCAACTCGAAGTCGACCAGTTTTGCTACTGACATGGACAAGCAAGGTGCAATCTTCTTACAGGGATCGGAAAACAGCGGATCATTGCGAGATTCAGACGACGGGGACGGAGCATCACCAGAACCTTCCCAGACTTTGGAGGATGCGCCAGTGCTGCTCGAGGTTGAAAACCTCACCCTCTACACCCCACAGTACACACAGCGACTGATCGCGGACCTGTCCTTGACTGTCAGGGTAGGAGAGCATCTGCTGGTAAGTGCACACAACTTAAACGGTTAAACCACCATTACCTCGTAAATAATCGGGGTGGG